GAAGTCAGTGCCTGGCGGGGTTGACTGAGGAGAGCTACTGTATTGCCTGGGGGAGGGAAGGAAGGGAAAAATAAGAGGGGAGAGAGGAGGGAGAGGGGGGAGAGGAGGAGTAGAGAGGAGAGAAGGAGGGAAGGAGGAAGGAAGAAGGAGGAGGTGGAAGAATGAGGAGGTGAAGGAGGAAGATGAGAGAGTGAAGGAAGGAGGGAGATGCAGGAGGGAGTGTAGAGAGGTAGGAAGGAAGGAGATAAGCGAAGGAAGGAATCTTGGTGTTGTGACGTGATTGAGTGAATGATATGCGTTCTTACACCACCAGCTAGGGGAGGGGGAGGGCAGGGGAGAATGAAGGGGTGGGAAGGAGGGGGTCAGGGGAAGAAGGAAGGAGGGGGGAGTGGAGAGAGAGAGGAGAGAAAGGGAGAGTGGGAGCAGGGGGTGGAGGGGAGGAGGGAGAGAGGGAGGGAGAGGGGAGAAGGAGGGAGAGGGTGGGGAGGAGAGTAGAGGGAACTTAACTTATAGAAGCCTTAGGTTAGGTTAGGTTAGGTTAGAGTAGTTAATCTTACGGTGAAATAAGCTGGAGGGAGGTGGCCTAATCTTCAGGTGATCATTGAAACTAAGGTACAGTCATTAACCTCATTATAGACAGGTAAATAAAGGTACTGACTGTAACACGTAACAGAGAAGAGAAGAAAGAGAAGAAAGAGAAAGAAAGAAAAATACAATAACATCTCCGTCTAAAACACACACACAACACACACACACACCACACACACACACACACACACACACACACACACGACTCTGCATCAAAAAAGATACCCCAATTTCTAGGACCCCTCCTATCTTCTCACAGACTCAGAGCCCAGATGAGGTTCCGGGTTCTTGGGGGGGGGTGGAGGGAGGTAGGGAAGAGAGAGGAGAGAAAGGGGGTGGGGGGGGTGTCCCAGAAGTTCAGGTATTCAGTGAGAGTGAAAGAGTTCTCACGGATGGATCAACACAGCCAATAGGTTGAGTACTGCAGGTATGAGAATGGACCTGGCTGGCTGACCCGAGTGACCTTGTGCTGCTGGTAGTGGTGGTGGTGGTGGTGGTGGTAGTGGTGGTGATGGTGATGGTGGTGGTGGTGGTGTTGGGATGTGTGTTTGTGAGGGAATGTGCTGGTATAATGTAATTGATGGGGATGTGATTGTGAAGGGATGTTAAGGTGCTTGTAGAGAGAGACGAAAGATGTGCTTGTGACTGTGTCTATCCTCGCTGCTTGTATCCAGTAGTTAGACGAGACCCTCCCAGTGCTTGTAGATAATAGCTATACCTTGTGCTTATAGACTAATATTGTAGAATGAGACTACACCTAAAAATACGGGCATTACGGAGCTTGTGGACTACAGCTACATCTACAAGCGGTTATATGATACTTGTAGGCTTGTTCTTATAGAATATACTGCTAAATCTACAACCTGTCCTCTAAACTACGGCTACACCCACATCACAACACCTCTTCCGTGCTTGTAGAGAACTGCTACAACTACAACACATCCCCTCTTACAAACCCAACAACTGTCTGCTTGTAGAATTCCGCGATAGTTAAAACAGAGATCCCTTGTGTGTGTGTGTGTGTGTGTTGTGTGTGTGTGTGTGTGTGTGTGTGTGTGTGTTACTGATTGTGAATGAAGGTCGGGGTGGGTGGGGGAGGGTAGGGTAGTGGGTGGGGGGTGAAGGAGGGGGAGGAGGGGTGGGGAGGGGGGCGTAAAAACAGAAGACGACCTCAGTTCCTTGCGTAATGAGGATAAAATATTGCGTAACCTATAACAAGTATCGAGGAGAACTTACGCAACAGGATAGGAATTGCGTTAAGTCCCGTCATTCTGATAACTGCTAAACCCGGAGGTGGTGGTTGGGATTGCGTAAAATATCCCAAGACGAGTCGTGTGTGTAGCGTATAGTCTGGCATAGAGAGAGGATTAAGTGTGTGTGCGTGTGTGTGTGTGTATTTTGATGTGGGAGGGGAGGGAAGAACGTGAGATTATGAACGATGGGAAACTTAATGTCATTCTGGGAGACAAAGAGATTCTATAAATGAATGGGGGGAACATTATCGCGTGTTTACATTAAATTAGGGATGTGGTGCATCACTCATGGTGTTTATATTGAGTTATAGTTCTTGATGTAATGATGACTACTACTACTACTACTACTATTATGACTACTTCTACTTTTTTAAACATGACCGCCAGCCTCCCCCACACCTTCGCTGCCATTTTATTACCTTAAAATTAAATATCCTAATACAAAAGTCTCTACTCTATCTGTGTTGAGTTAAGCCACAGATCTATGCACCATTCAGTGACTGTTGCCTCATAGTCAATATCTGCGACCGTTGTTTGCTTTGGGGCCGATGTTCTCGTTCCCCTGAGGCAGATCAATGCAAACCTAAGCAGAGAAGGACAGTCGACATCTCTACCAAGCTGTAACATAGCTTCTGGGCTGCTGGTTCTGTTTAGACAACACCTCGACCAGTCTTGCATGAAAGCATCTTGCACTTGGGTCCCGTCCCGCCAGAGGAGTGAAGCCGCCTTGATTAATATTCTGAATTCTCTCTTAATTCTGCACCGTCATATCAACATCACCTAAAACAGAATACCATTACAACTGTGCGATTAAAACAATAAAAACTGGTTAGTTACAACCTACCAATTAACAATAATTATAATCATCACAACATCAGAAAACAATACACACATCAAAAAAAACAACACACCATACACTCTTCAAACAACAACATAATACAAATAACACATTAACCACAAAATCACATTACACTAACCTAACAAAAACTATTCTAAACAACACTCAACACAATAACAACCAACATGACTTCAACATAAAACAATTATCTATAAACAGAAAGCAACAACAGCAACCACAATCAGCAACAATAACAAGAATTTGCAACAACAACAACAACAGTAGCAGTTCAACCAAAGGAAGTGTGAGACGTGAGGTGAGGGGGTGAGGAGGTGTGAGACGTGAAGGGGTGAGGAGGTGTTAGACGTGGTGAGGGAGGTGTTAGACGTGAGGGTGAGGTGTTAGACGTGAGGGTGAGGGGGGTGAGGAGGTGTGAGACGGTGAGGGGGTGTTAGACGTGAGGGTGAGGGGGTGAGAAGTGTGGCGTGAGGGGGTGAGAGGTGTTAGACGTGAGGTGAGGGGTGAGGAGGTGTGGACGTGTGAGGGGTGAGGAGGTCTTAGACGTGAGGGTGAGGTGGTGAGGAGGTGTGAGACGTGAGGTGTGAGGGGGTGAGGAGGTGTGAGACGTGAGGGGTGAGGAGGTGTTAGACGTGAGGGTGAGGGGTGTGTGAGACGTGAGGGGGTGAGGTGTTAGACGTGAGGGTGAGGGGGTGAGGAGGTGTGAGACGTGAGGGCTGAGGGGGTGTGAGACGTGAGGGGTGTTGGGCGTGAGGGTGAGGGAGGTGTTGGACGTGAGGGTGAGGTGTGAGACGTGGGGTGGGGGGGGTGAGGAGATGTGAGACGTGAGGGGTGAGGTGTGGGACAGGGGGGTGAGGAGGTGTGGGGTGAGGGGGTGAGGAGGTGTGAGACGTGAGGGTGAGGTGTGAGACGTGAGGGGGGTGAGGTGAGAGACGTGAGGGGGGTGAGGAGGTGTGAGACGTGAAGGGTGAGGAGGTGGGGGTGAGTGAGGGGGAATAATGATGCCTCACTCCTACGTCATCCGTTGTGTAATCTCCTCCATTTCCTCCATCCCCTCCCAGATCTTCCTCCCTCTCTCAAGTCTCTGCTCTACCCTCCTTCCCCTTCCTCCCCCCCAAGTCTTCCTCCTATTCTCCTCCCATCCTGAGTCTCTCTCCCTCCCTCCCCAGGTCTTCCTCCTCTTCCTCTTTAAGTCTTCCTCTTCTTAAGTCTTCCCTCCACTTCCCTCTTCCCCGTTGTAGTTCATCATTTTCCTTCCCAGCTATACACCCTCAACATTAAGCTCTCTTTCCCCTCTTCTTCACATTCCTTCTCCTCTCCCCTCATTCTCTTCGTTTCTCCTCTTCTTTCCTCATTCTCTTTTTCCTCCCCCAACATTTTCTTCACCCTCTCCCTTCCCCTCTCTCTCTGTTATTCAGCGTCCTCCTCCCCTTTATCCCTTCTGTTGCTGCTTCTGTACTTGTTTGTATGGTAAACAAGTGAGGTGTGTTAAAGACCTATTTTACCTGTGTTTGCTACTGTGTTTGTTTGTGTATTTGTTTGTTTACGTTAAGTTACTTTCATTTTTGTTTGTTTGTTGGACTGGTGTACAAATGAGAGTGTGTTTGTTTAGTGTTTGCTTAACGGGTAAACAATTGAGTGGCTATATTGTTTGTTTGCTTGACGTGCAAACAATTGAGTGTGTTTTTGTTTATTTGCATAAATGGTGTATAACTGAGTGCTTGCTTGTTTATTGTTTGCTTGGCAGGTAAACAACTGAGAGTGTGTTTGTTCGTTGTACACCTCAGTATGTTTACGCCTGTATATCTTAACTCTAATTTATTTGTTTGTTTGTTTATACACACTTTATTATTACCCACGTTGTCTTTGTTCGCCATTTCTTTGTTTATCTGTCTTTGTGCGCTTAGCCTCTACTTGTTTATTTGTTTACACTCATTGTTGCCTCTGTTTACATTTATTTCTTTGTGTGTTCTTGTCCATCTTGTTTTTTTCATGTTTTTGTTTCTTTGTTTACTCTATCTATCTGTCTGTCTGTCTCCTATATTTGTTTACTGTCTGTCTGTCTCCTTGTTTACACCTTCACTGTCACGCGAGTTTCCTTCTGGCTATGCATAAGTCAATCCTTCGTTCACGTCTCGGATTTAATCTCGTTGTCCTGGCCGAGAGAGAGAGAGAGAGAGAGAGAGAGAGAGAGAGAGAGAGAGAGAGAGAGAGAGAGAGAGAGAGGTCCGTAACCTTTGAGTGGTTCTCGAGGGGTGGCCAGATTTAGCAGACCCTTGAAGATTACGTTCAAGGACCACAGTCTATGGCCTCGAGAACGACTTAAAATACCCAAGAGAGAGTAACTTGTATGGTGGAGACGGTACATGGTATAACGCTGGTACAATGGTAGTGGATGGTACAAATGTGGTACAATATATGGTACAATGGATACAGATGGTACAACGGGTGCAGATGGTGCAACGGCAGATGGTACAACGGGCAGATGGTACAACGGGCAGATGGTACAACGGGTGCATGGTACAACGGGTGTAGATGGTACAATGCGCAGATGGTACAACGGGTGTAGATGGTACAACGGGGATGGTACAACGGGTGTAGATGTACAACGGGCAGATGCACAACGGGCAGATGGTACAACGGTAGATGGCACAACGGGTGTAGATGGGTACGGGTGCAGATGGTACAACGAGTGCAGATGGCACAACGGGTGTAGATGGTACAACGGTGCAGATGGCACAACTGCGAGATGGTACAACGGCAGATGGTACAACGGGTGCAGATGTACAACGGGCAGATGGTACAACGGTGCAGATGGTACAACGGGTGTAGATGGTACAACGGTAGATGGTACAACGGGTGATGGTACAACGGGTGCAGATGGTACAACGGGTAGATGGTACAACGGGTGCAGATGGTACAACGGGTGCAGATGGTACAACGGGTAGATGGTACAACGGGTAGATGGTACAACGGGTGCAGATGGCAACAACGGGCAGATGGTACAACGGGTGCAGGTACAACGGTGCAGATGGTACAACGGGGCAGATGGTACAACGGTGTAGATGGGCTGCAGATGCAGGACAACGGGTGAAGCGGCGTCAAGGGGGCAGATGGTACAAGGTGCAGATGGTACAACGGGTGTAGATGCGGACAACGGCAGATGGTACAACGGTGCAGATGGTACAACGGTGCAGATGGTACAACGGCAGATGGCAACGGGCAGATGGTACAACGGGTGTAGATGGTACAAGGGTGCAGATGGTACAACGGCGCAGATGGTACAACGGGTGCAGATGGTACAACGGGTGCAGATGGTACAACGGGTGCAGATGGTACAACGGGTGTGATGGCGTGCAGATGGTACAAGGAGGCAGATGGTACAAGGAGCAGATGGCAATAACGGTGCAGATGGTACAACGGGTGCAGATGGTGGCACGGGTGCAGATGGTACAACGGTGCAGATGGTACAACGGGTGCAGATGGTACAACGGGTGCAGATGGTACAACGGGTGCAGATGGTACAACGGGTGCAGATGGTACAACGGGCAGATGGTACAACGGGTGCAGATGGTACAACGGGTGATGGTACAACGGTGCAGATGGTACAACGGGTGTAGATGGTACAACGGGCAGATGGTACAACGGGTGAGATGGTACAACGGGTGCAGATGGTACAACGGGTGCAGATGGTACAACGGGTGATGGTAAACGGGTGCAGATGGTACAACGGGCAGATGGTACAACGGGCAGATGGTACAACGGGTGTAGATGGTACAACGGCGATGGTACAACGGGTGCAGATGGAACAACGGGCAGATGGTACAACGGCAGATGGTACAACGGGTGCAGATGGTACAACGGCAGATGGTACAACGGCAGATGGCACAACGGGTGTAGATGGTACAACGGGTGCAGATGGTACAACGGGTGCAGATGGTACAACGGGTGTAGATGGTACAACGGGTGCAGATGGTACAACGGGTGCAGATGGTACAACGGGTAGATGGTACAACGAGTGCAGATGGTACAACGGGTATGGTACAAGGAGGCAGATGGTACAACGAGGTAGATGGTACAACGGTGTAGATGGTACAACGGGTGCAGATGGTACAACGAGTGCAGATACAACGGGTAGATGGTACAACGGATAAATGGTACAACGGTACAACAGGGGAGGTACAACAGAGAATGGTACAACCTGGAGGACGGGGCCTGTCATCACCTGTTACATTTCCGTACCTACGGAGAGAGAGAGAGAGAGAGAGAGAGAGAGAGAGAGAGAGAGAGAGGAGAGAGAGAGAGAGAGCAAAATTAATACCAGCAGCCAATTAGTCAACACTCATTATCAGATCAAATTAATTTAATATACACACACACACACACACACACACACACACACACACACACACACACACACACACACACACACAATCAAAACACGAGACTTAAATCTATTCTGTTTACATCCAGATGTTCCCTGATTGGTCCCTGGTGGATCCCTGTGGACTTTCTCGACCAATCATACGTCAGGAAATTTACATGCACATATATATATTGCAACTATAACACGGGAGGTAAAGCTGGGCGTGTCTCTGTCCCTACCTGAGGGAAAAAGAAAGGAGGGAGGGGGAGGGAGGAGGGGAGGGAGGGAGGGAGGGGAGGAGGAGGGGGGAGGGAGGGAGGAGGGAGGGAGGAGGAGGGAGGAGGAAGGGAGGGGGGAGGAGGGGGAGAGGGAGGAAAAGGAAAAGGAGTTTTAAAGCTGAAAAACTACAAATTACTTTTCCTTATTGTCTCTTCTTCTTCACTCTCTCTCTTACTTCCTTCATGTACTCTTTATTCATTCATCTCTACCCCTCAAAGGACAATTCTTCATGTAGACTCTCTCTCTCTCTCTCTCTCTCTCTCTCTCTCATTTTTTTTTTCTTACTCTCCTTTGCCTCACCCTTCTTTATTTCCTTCCTTTCTCTTCCCCTCCCTTCATTCTCTTTTCCTTCTTTCCTTCCTCTCATTCCCACCCATCTCTTACATCACTCTCTTTTCTCTGTCTCTCCTTCCATCCTTCCCCTCCTTGTCTCTCATTCTCTTCCCCTCCCCCTCAGACACACCTAAGCCTCTGAAGACGTAATAATTAAGAAATTATTCAATCAAGAGGATGTGATCTGGGAGGAGAGGGGAGGGGTCGGGGAGGTGAGGGGTCGGGGAGGAGAGGTGAGGGGTCGGGGAGAGTGGAGGGGTCGGAGAGGAGGGTGAGGGTCGGGGAGGAGAGGTGAGGGGTCGGGGAGAGGTGAGGGTCGGGGAGGAGAGGGTGAGGGGTCTGGGGAGGAGAGGTGAGGGGTCGGGGAGGAGAGGAGAGGGTCAGGGGAGGGAGAGGGAGGTCGGGGAGGAGGGTGAGGGTCGGGGAGGAGAGGTGAGGGTCAGGAGAGGGGTGAGGGGTCGGGGGAGGAGAGGTGAGGGGTCGGGGAGAGAGAGGTCAGGGTCGGGAGGAGTGGTGAGGGTCGGGGAGGAGAGGTGGGGTCGGGGAGGAGAGGTGAGGGTCGGGGAGGAGAGGTGAGGGGTCGGGGAGGAGAGGTGGAGGGGTCGGGGAGGAGGGTGAGGGGTCGGGGAGGAGGAGGGTCGGGGAGGAGGGGTGAGGGGTCGGGGGAGAGGGGTCAGGGTCGGGGAGGAGAGGTGAGGGGTCGGGGAGGAGAGGTGAGGGGTCGGGGAGAGGGTCACAGGTCGGGGAGGGTGAGGGGTCGGGGGAGGAGAGGGGTCGGGGAGGAGGGGTGAGGGGTCGGGGAGAGAGGTGAGGGGTCGGGGAGAGGGGAGGGGTCGGGGAGGAGTGGGTGAGGGTCAAGAGGGGTCACGGGTCGGGGAGGAGGGTGGGGTCGGGGAGAGGTGAGGGGTCGGGGAGAGAGAGGGGCAGGTTTGGGGAGGAGGGTGAGGGTTCGGGAGAGGGGTCAGGGGTCGGGGAGGAGTGGTGAGGGGCCGGGGAGGAGGGTAAGGGTCGGGGAGGAGGGGAGGGGTCGGGGAGGAGTGGTGAGGGTCGGGGAGAGGGTCACGGGTCGAGGATTGATTTTTTATTTTTAATTTTGTCGTTTACAGCGGCTACTTATAGTGCACCCCACACGCATCCTGTGAGCGGTAGCGCAAAAGGATTAGAGTAGAGTTTACAAGGGTCGCATAATAATTAACCCCGTTGTCAGGATATTATGGCACTGAATGTTACACAGCATTCATTTACCATTATTTGTTTAGTTCTATACATAAATGGTAACTTATTCACAAATGGCAGGAGCAGGGAGGCAGTATGTCTGGCCCTCACACTTTGTTATTCACATTTACGTGGGAGGTATTCCACATTGTGTATTTGGTTCTATACATGAGAATTGATATAGTTACTAAGTGCAAAAAAAGTGGATACAATCTTAATATGTCGGCTATCTTGCTATTAGAGATGAAGTGTTATGCCATTTCACACACAGTGTGCTTGGACCTGTCCCTAAAAGGTTCTATCTTCACACAGTCGAGAGGCTCAAGTGTGTGGCCATATGTCTGGCCACACACTTTACATCTAGTCTTGTTAACATCTGCTTGAGGTACATACTAAAGGTACTTATATCCCAATCTAAAGGGTTACACAGGGGGCCGAGGAGGAGTGGTGAGGGGTCGGGGGAGAGGGGTCACGGGTCGGGGAGGAGTGGTGAGGGGTCGGGGAAGGGTAGGGTCGGGGAGGAGGTGAGGGGTCGGGGAGGAGGGTGAGGGGTCGGGGGAAGCAGGCACAGTAAGGGAAGCAGGCACAGGTAACCCACACCCTTGTCCTAGTACTTCCCCACATGTGGTTGAACTGTCGGTTTGTTGAGGAGGCAGGAGGGGTGAGGGCGGTAGTGAGGGTGAGGGGAGCAGGAGGGGTGAGGGCGGTAGGAGGGGTGAGGGGCGGTAGTGAGGGGTGAGGGCGAGGGGTGAGGGGCGGAGTGAGGGGTCAGGGGCGGTAGTGAGGAGGGAAGGAGAGGGAGGGGTGGTAGTGGGGTGAGTGAGGGATGCCAGGGAGTGAGGGAGAGGAAGTATACTGAGCTTGGAGGAAGTTTACCACCACTCACACACACAACCAATGGACACCAGAATGTCCAAATAAAGCACAACAACGCTCCACCTAGTCAACGCTCCACCCAGTCAACGCCTCCCAGTCAACGCTCCACCCAGTCAACGCTCCCCCCAGTCAACGCTCCACCCATCAACACTTCCCTAATCAACGCTCCTGCCAGCACTTAACACGTCATCAGAGGCCATGTGTTAGCGCCAGGGTCCGACCTCCTCCCGCCATGATCGCTTCTCCTTCGGCCAATCACGCTTCCCAGAATTACACTTTCCAGGTACATGGCAACCTTGTGGTGAAGGAGGTGTTGCCGCTCTCAACTTTATTTATTTATTTATTCTTTTTACTTACCCAGTCGGTTAGGCAGCGGTGTTGTAATACTTTTCATAAGAGAGAGATATAACGAGCCACCATTACCCACTGCCAGGAACTCATTAGTGATTGCTGTTTCCATGAATTGAGATTTTGAGGTCAATATGGCAATAATAATGGTGTTGCTGTCTTTAGCTCCCACGATTTTATTTATTTATTTATATAATTATTCACTCAATTATTTTGTAACTTAGTAAAGATCGAGTATAGTTGGCGAGTATAGTTATCAAATTAAGGTATAACGTGGTAGTATTGTCATCTTTATTTCTTGAATCATTGAAGATTAAATAACTATACTTGGTACCTCGGGTGAAGATGCTGCCATTCGTGGTGTCAATATTTAATCTATTTAATTACTTTTAGGATCTCCAGCTGTTAATTCTAGTGGTGATTGAGGAGAAGCTGCAGCATACACACAACATGTCAAAGCCCCTCTCTTCCCAGAATTGAAGGCCTGCGAGTGCGGCTGTCTTAGGTTCAATAATTTATTCACACATTTCTCTATTTCGAGTTAATCTATCAATCTATTATTTCAACCCATTTATTTCCACCTAAAGATTAACCACCCTAACACTAACACTAATCTAACCTAACCCCAACCTAACACTAACCTAACACTAACCAAACCTAACCCACCCTAACCCTAACCTAACACTAACCTAACGCTAACCAAACCAAACCTAACGCCAACCCAACCCAACCCAACCCAACCCAACCTAACCTAACCTAACCCTAACCCAACACTCAACCTAACGCTAACCAAACCAAACCTAACGCTAACCTAACACTAACCTAACTCCAACCTCTAGCCCTAACCTAACGCTAACCAAACCAAACCTAACGCCAACCCAACCCAACCGAACCTAACGCTAACCTAACGCTAACCAAACCAAACCTAACGCCAACCAAACCAACCCAACCTAACACTAACCTAACGTAACCCAACCACACGCTAGCACTAACCTCAATTTCACCTCACCTCTTCCCCCAAATAGCTATAAAGTAGTTAACCTTTTGGGGCATTTTATTGTTATTTCTTTTATAATAGATTAATAGACAGTACAGTAATAGAAAACACTTAACTCTATCTATATTCATACAATAAATCTGTAAAAAAAAAATCTGAAGCTACAAGTTAAATCCTTTAGAGACAAATCTGGCCAGACTCATATTCCGATTTCTATTTCAGATTTCTAAATTACAATCAGATCCTCAATACTCAGATTTATTTCTCTAATCTGAATCTGATCTCCCACCAATCCTGATTTTCTTATTAAAATGATTCTCCTGATTTCATATTTGTAAAGTCGAATTTCGGATTTTTCTGATTTCTTAGTTAAATTTGTCTTATTTTTTTCTTAACTTATTTATGTAACTTTGATTCCCGTCTATTAAAGTTATATTGTATTGTTTAAAATTGACAGTGTGAGGGGAACCACTGGGGGCTTCACTGGTGAGGGGAGAGTGAGGGAAGGGCAGGACTTAAGGGAACAGGAAGAGAGAGGGAGATAAAAATGTGAGAGAGAGACAGAGTGTGTGTGTGTGTGTGTGTGTGTGTGTGTGTGTGTGTGTGTGTGTGTGTGTGTGTAACATACCAGGCCACACCATGAATGCCATACTGTCTGCCCAGGGATAGTCGTTGGTCTGGCAGGCGTCCCCTCCCCACCTCCCCAACTCCCAACACACGTCCTCTGACGCCCCCCACCCACACACTGGTGCCCACGCCCTAGACCATGCCCACGCCCACCGCGGCATTCCCTACCTATGACCCCCAC